ACAGCTTATGGCAGTGCATTGCCCTGAAGAGGCAGCCTTCATGGGGGAAGCGACCGAGGTCACTGGGGAGGTGGCCAGAAGAAAACACTGACAGGAATCCCACAGGTGGCATTTGTACGCTGCTTTAACATCCGGAAGGGGGCTGCATTCAGCCCCACACGCCGGGTCCAGCCTGCTCTCACATGGTGGAGAAATGGTGCTGCAGGCTGGACTGCGCATGCCCCCCAGTCACAGGGTGCCTGGAGGAAGCGGCTTCCCCGATGAACTGAATCAAGTGCTCACAAAGGGTGATCAGACTAGGGGCATCCATATGATCTTCAGAGATCGGTTTTGAGGCCTGGCTTCACAACATCTGGATCCAAATTCCATTTAGTGTGGCCCCTAGACTGATCTTAGGTTACACTGAGCACAACGAGATGGAGGCTAACTAGCCAGAAGTTTGTGATTTTCACTGTGTATCCACTCTATAGAGAACCCCCATTGGCTTTCCTGGAGCAGTCTATTCCAAAAGATAAAAAACACTCTCTGTTTCCTCAAGGGAAACACTAACATTTCTCAAATCCCATATACGGTGCTTGCAGTTTATTCTGTATCTTGCAGGCTCAGGGCTTTTAAAACAGAACTAAATGGATATTTGGTAGAATTTGGCTAAGTGAGCTGGTAAGAAAGGAGAGTGGCAAGTAATTGACATCTGTTGTTGGCATTAGTGAAGTGCAGACACTGCCTTCTTTAGATCTCTTAACCTTATCTGAACTAATAATATTTAATTGGGACAACACACTGGAATGAGAAAATCATCCTGAATTTAAACGTTTCCGTCTGCAATTCAATAAAGCAGCCACACTACCGGCAGAGCCTTGCCAAGATGCTAGATTATCTTTTCGTATTGACAATTAACATTTGAACCATCTGCTAAAACAATCAGAAGATTGACTCATATTAATAAAAGCAAAGATTAAATAAATGAAGCAAAAGGCACTAAACTCATTAAAATTCTCCGTAACTTGTTGTGAGTGCGTGGTGATGCTATTAGGACAATTTGAGCTTCAAAATTCTTAGGTGATTGACCATGAACAGGTTAATACAATACGTTTTTAAGATGTATTTTCAATCCTGCAGCTGGTACCATTTACTAATACAAAAGTCCTTTGTGAACACACTTTTCAAACTCTGTGCATTTCTGAGGTAAGAGCTGGCATCAAGCTATCAGTATTAAAATTCTTTTCTCTGTAGATGTGGCTAGCCCGGAGTGCAGAACTGGGAGGCTGGGCATTGTTTGAGCCTGACATTGATTGAAATATAGGTACTAGCCAAATGACCTAACCTGTCTGATTAGGTTTTCCTATTTGTAAATGAGAAATTTGTCCTGATTTCCCTGACGTAATTATTGGCCAAGTACTCATGTTGTTGATTCAGCTAAGTCCCCCGTTGAGCTAAATGGGAATTTTGCCTGACAAAAAGAAGCTGACACCCACCGGAGTGAATGGAATAAATCACGCCCTAAGTCAGAACCTCTGGATTTTACCTGAGGCTCAAATGGCCTTGAATTTGAATTCATAAAAACTGCTGAAGACAAGCCTTTGCTGGTGCATGCAGCTAAAGGCCTGCTGTCAACGGGCCTGGAAAGAACATGCCAAAAAATTGTAGGACCAGCATTCAGCTGAACCATTAAATTGTGTATCTCTCGTGACCTCCCTCTGAAAGCCCTACTAGTGGACAAGGAGTGTAGGAGGGAGCCATACGCAGGTCTCAGACAGAGGTGGAATATCCTCTCATCACACATTTAGCAATGAGAGATGCAAACCACACAAATTCAGACAGGAAAACACACCCCTTGCCTCAGGAACTACCGAACGCTTCGTGCAGGGGAAGAGAGAGGTTAGAGGTAGGGAATTTTCCCGACTTCTCTTTAGCAGTAAATCATTATTCTTTGGACTTGAGAAAACATGGGTAGGTAAAGAGCGTCTTTGGCAGGGTCTGGTTCGAAGCCTGATAACTTCAGGTCACTGCAGTGGTTTCCACAGTGAAAGAGAGAGGATGACGGGAAGCAGGGTACTCTGATGAGAGCACAAAATGCTTCTGCCTTTGGCTTCAGCTGCTGCATGAAGGCGGCAGAGGTACGCTCCATGACTGAAAAGCAAATAGGTCTGGTAGATCAGTAGATACGGCAGGTATCCAAGAAGACTAGATTTTCCTATGCCAAGAGCAACGGAGAAGGAATATTGGGAAAAACATCATATAAATGTATATAGTAAGAGCATTGTAATTCCAAGAATGATTTGGTGGTTTAGTGTGTAAAGAAATAGAGCAACGCCTTTCTTCTTAGAGCCATGTAATTGTAGTACAATTTTTGAAAGAGGCCAATTCCAAGACTAGTGTCTAATTTTAGACAATCTTCCACTTCATCATTTCCTGATGAGAACCAGAAAATCCTTGCTTTTTTAATCTCAGTACTTCCTGCAATAAAGCAAAAAATCATAGGGGAGGAAAAAAAACACCTCTTAAGAGCACAATAGTTACAATTTTTCCCAAGGTATGGACTGCTGTTTGGCTAATGGCCTGCTGACTTTGATTAGGAAAGCACAAAGCTGGCAAATGGAATTGACAGACTTAACAATTACAAAATCTCCTCCCACTTTCACAGTGTGTCTCAGAGAGCCAGACAGAGAATTCATCCCCGAAGAGCCACCCCACTATGTTTTGCTGGGATAAAGACGATCAAACGCAGCTGGACTTCCCATGGGACTTTAGACAAATTACATACATCTCTTTACTTCAGTTCCTCATCTACAAAACAGGACAATGGAACTTCCCCATCTGACAGGGTGCTCAAGGATAACTGCATTAAATATCCTGAGGTCCTCACATCTTCAGGAAAGGCTTCCTGCCGCTGAGCTGTGCCAGCCCCGAGCTTGGCCTTGCAGTGCATCAGGTATGTTGCAGGCCCACCCAGTGGAGAAGCAGGAAATAGCAAGACCCTGTTACTCCATTGCTTCCTGTTTTGTTAAAGCTGCAGTGTGTAACATTAACAGAATACTCTGTGAAGCGTGTCCAGGTAAATCAACTGGCACAATGAAAAGATGCTACCTGTTTCACAAACTCTGCTTCCGTATTTGCTACCATACTCACAAGCACCAGCTGTTCTTTTAGCTAAAATGATTCCAAAAATCATAAACTTTTTAATAACGGTATTAATATGAACTAATGTTTTGTTAGTGCAGTAGTGAGCGAAGCTGTCTTATCGCTTCTTCCCACTGACTTTCTATGAGGCTGTGATCCAGCCCAGCCTCCGTGCATTACAGAGTATGTTGAGAGGAATGAGAGCCCGAGTTCCTTCACCCTTCCACTGAAAACATCCTGGTGCTGCAAACCGGAGACAACTAGCCATAAAAGCATTCCAGCTTCTTATTACAAACCCAAATGAACGGCCCCTGCAGTAACGGAGCGCAAACCTGCAAGTCTGTGGATAGTAAGATAATCACTTTGGAGAGAACCCAGTGCAGAGCACGAGGTACTGCAATTACACAGCCAGGTCGGTTCTCCGCATACAAATCCAGGAGGCGCCTCCACTCAGCAGCGACCCCTGAGAAAATCTGTCTTCTCACAAAATCCCAGATCAATTCCTGCATTCTGTTCGTTCCGGAGGTATTCATCCATCGCTAAACAAGTAATAGTCCATCAAGAACAGATGCCAATACTAGTGTAAAGATTAAAAGCATAAAAGTACAGAAAAGCATGTTTTTTAATCATGGATGCATCATAGAATCCACTGAGACTTACCGAGATGTTGCCTATAGGAACAAACTGAACTGCAGGCAACAGCTGCCTCATAACAAAACAAATGACCTGAAAAACAAAGTTGCTGTCAAAATATCACTTTTGAATGGACAAACTGGGAAAGGTAATTTTTAATTCAACTTTTGTAGAGGGGAAGTAATTTGAAGAGTGGGTGTGACAATGAAATTGATTTTAAAAAAGCAGCACCAGCATTCACGTTTGAATGCTTTAAGCTGAGTAGCATGAAAATGTCATGAGATAATGCAGGATAAGAAATGTTAATACTCATCTGAAAACTAGATGAGAATACTGATTTTCACAGACTGTGGAGGAGATTTTAGATTTAGAAGGTAAAAAAATACGTCTAACTAAATACTAAAGGTAAATGTGGGAGTAAAAGATTAAAGCATACAATCCTGTCATCCTATGGGATGGTAAGATTAAAATAGCGTGAAATGTAACTAATAGAGCTAGGACAAGACAATATTATGGAAAATTGCTGGATTTGATTTTGGAAAGACAATGAACAGAGTCAATGGAATCACATTAACTAATTTACTAGACATTTGGGATATTTAAGACTATCAGTTTAGGTATAATATTAATTTTGCTTTTATAAAGCCCTCTATAAATGTTTGACCTCTTACTCCCATCCACTTCTTTCCCCTGCTCCAAAAATTGTTCAGTTAAAAATCCACTGCTAAGCTCTCCACAATGTGAGCCGAAGAACACAAAGTACTCCTGAAACTAACTCGTCTAACTAACTTTGTTGCTCGAGTATGTAATACATGCTACTGTCAAAACAGGGACTTTGTGAACATCTGGAAGTCCCTTTAGGTATGTTCATTCCAAACTCAGTAGTTGCACTGCCAATGTAACACTAGAGCAACTTCTAAAAAACTAACCACATTTATATATATGCAAGGTAAGCTTAATTAGCATACTTCACAAAAATATAGTACTTGAGTATTAGAACGTGATGTACTAAAGAAAGTATGTGAGCTTTTATAGTTGTTATAACAATTCTGTATTTAATTAGGCCTCATTAGTAAAGGTAATCGCTGTAATTCATTTGCACAAATACAGGACGTTGTGCTCCATCAGCAGATAATGTTCTTCATTAAAAAGAGTAAGAACTTTGTGCACCAGGGCAGATGGGGCCTGCTTATGCAAATAAAATCAGAACTACAAAGCAGAGAGTAAAAATATTATACTAAATCAAGTCAACTCACCAATTTTATTTAGATGGTAATTTGCAATAAGGTATTACAGTGGAAAATTACGTCGGCTTTCAAATTCACTTCTGGAAGGAAACTGAAGTGTCTCTTTTTTTTATATATATGCATTTTAAAATTAATTATAACAGCCAGCTGTAGTATATAATGCAATTGAGATCAGTTTTGTGCATCAGTGTTTGATTCTTAAAGGCTTTACACTCATATCACACTTCCTACAACTCCAAGTGACTCAAGCAGAAGTTGGCTCTGGCCAATAAATTTGGACCTCATTGGTAACTCCTAGTGACACTAGAAAGATGTATTTTTAGGGGAAAGTGCAGAACTAAGAGAAGAGTGAACAAAAATATCTGTACTGTCCCTTCCAAATTACCACCACATATAACTTTGATGAAAGCTTACAGTGATGCAGTTTTCCAGTGAGTTTTTTTTTTTTTTTAAAAAGATCTGTTCTGAACATCTAAAGGTTACCCTCTCCTTGCCCTGTACTCATGATTATCTGTCTGCATGCAGGCCGCTTCCTTAGTGTTTTCTAACATTGCACAAGGAGTCTTACCAGAAGGTGTTACCATAATGTACTTGGTCAGTGATTCAACTCTAGAAGGGATGAATAGAGAACGCCATGAATGTGACAGATGAATGCTAGACTAACTAAAGTCTGCAGTAAATTCAATGAAATGAAATCCTTCAGATTATCCTTCCGGTCTACATGTGTGACCTCTCTCCCCATTATGAGTTAAAACACTGTGTCCTTTTCTTGTGTACTAGAATTAGCAAGAGCTTATGCGGAGACCAACCATTTTTGCTTTCCCACTTCATGTTACACTTTTTTACGCTTTGTAAATCTCCTTACAACAAATTACTTTATACTTCTAACATAAGATTAAATGTTTGTGATTGAAGGAAATATCAAATTGAATTATAGTTTTAATTACTATTTTGCTCCCCTATGGAAATTTCTATTTTAAAAACTGAAGTCAATTCAAAAGAAGAATGATCAGGAAAATCAAACACCATTTTCAAAATTTAAGGAAAATTTAATCAATATGCCTTAAATTATCCTTACACTACCTGCAATTCTGGCAAGCATGACATTTTTAAAATGGTGTTTTTCTTGGGAGTATGCAAAAAATTCTACTCTTCATCTACTAATATGTGCATCATTAAGAAAAGTAACTCTAGATGAAGTCAACTTCATCAATCCAAGTTAACACATAGCTAGTTAGACATCCAAATGTATTCATGTTTCAAGTGTGACAGAATTACAGATCCCTTTGACTTCTAAGCATCTGTTTTCTAATTCATAATTTAAATATCTTAAATCCTGAAATACTATCACATCAAATGAATATGTAAGAGACCAAAGAGCTTAAGAGTGTATTTGTTACAATATAGAAAATATTCTAATTGCTTGAGTTCTTTTGTGCATGTGCATCATTAAGAAAAGTAACTCTAGATGAAGTCAACTTCATCAATCCAAGTTAACACATAGCTAGTTAGACATCCAAATGTATTCATGTTTCAAGTGTGACAGAATTACAGATCCCTTTGACTTCTAAGCATCTGTTTTCTAATTCATAATTTAAATATCTTAAATCCTGAAATACTATCACATCAAATGAACATGTAAGAGACCAAAGAGCTTAAGAGTGTATTTGTTACAATATAGAAAATATTCTAATTGCTTAAGTTCTTTTGTGCATTTTTTTTTTGTAAGAGGGGACAGGAAATAGGTTATTACTGCAGATTTATTCAAAGAGAGCCCAAATTTACATCTGTGGTTTTATTTACTTTTGCTGATAAAAATCTATCAAGTATATTCTAACTGCAACCCTTTTCCCTCCCGTACTCCTCCCCCTCCCCCCCGCCAAATCCTCAAATAAACAAAAGTGACTTTTCCAAAGATTTAGGAATGGGAAAGAAATTGCATTAACTTTATAAGCATGAATACTTATTAAAGCTATAGACAACTTAGGTCAATTGAAAACAGTATTCAAAGTCCTAAAAAAGTGAACACAAGACATTTGTTTCCATTGTTTCAGATAATTCAAAACAGGTCTAAGTTTCATGATAGCAATATTATATAGCTGTTTGCAGCGGTTTCTGGTCCAACTAAATGTTCCAAGTTGATGTTTTCATTTTGGCCCACTGGAGTCCAATAATTCAGACAGTCTATTCAAAACACAGAAATGAGAGCAAAGACTCCATACAATAAAGCACAGGGGTATGCTACTAGGAGTTGTTGTCCTTCCATTGCTAAGGCAGATATAAAGATTTTGGAAGCAGAAAAACTGCACCAGCCAATGATTCCAGCAGTGAGAATAATTCCTATCATTCCCCTGTAAAGATAAAAAAAAAAAAAAAAAGTTTGTGTACATGCTTACAGGAGTCATAACTGGACTCAGTTTCTAATACCTTTTACAACTTCCAAGATAAAATTCAGCTTTGAGGATTTTACTTTTTAAATGAAATAGAATTCCAGTAAAGATTTCAAAACTATGTTATTCAATTATGCAAAAAAGTCAAAATTAGGTTTTATATTCACAAAAAGTTAAGTGCTGAATATAGAAACTGTAGTGAGTTATTCCATGTTGCTTTCCAATTCTTAACTTCATATAGCTATGAAGAATCAAACTGATTTTCTTATTTGACAAATTCGTGTCTCAACTTATAATCATTTTTTAGACTTTACAGGTACTGAGATTTGTCAGATTAAAAGCTAACTAAAAACATAACTTGACATTGTTATTTGAGTCCATGTATTCAAAAGCTGTTAATTAGCTTATAAATAAAAACAATTCATCCAGTTAAGTGTCGAAACACTGTCGATATTTGTATTTTTCCAATTACTACACATTCCTATCACACTCAAATTACAAGCAGTTTCTTCACTGAACGTGATACCAAATTATAAAGTTTATGTACTTACTGCAATGAAAACACAACTGCGAAAGTGGAAAGTAGGATCATAGGAAGAAGACAGTATCCAAGTACACTGGCAACGCAGCCAAATGAGACACCCGTCATGCTCATTAAGTTCAGGAGACAAAACATCCCTAAACATCCGATTGCACTTATTCCATATACATAACCAAACTGAATTTTACCAGCCTAAAAACAAAACAAAACACACAAGCAGATGAATTCAAGTTAGTGCCTTTGACAAACAAAAGGAATGTTTACAGATTTTTTTTCTCCTTCTTTTGTCTTTTCCCCTCACAAATTCCTACGTTCAAATTCAACACACAACCTGAATTTCAGAACACTTGTACGTTCTAGACACCCAACAGGCACATTCATCCTAAGTTTACGTATTCTGATAAACGGATTATTGATCAAAGTATTCTTACTCTTTGATTTGGGCTGCAAAAGCATATTCTTTAGGTTTACTCAATTAGCTCTGCTAGCTGATATTTCTCTGAAGATTAGCTGCAGGGTTTTGTATTAGTACAATAATAGTCTTTACAGAAGTAATATTTAAAGATCAAAAAACTGTAAGTCAGGAACTTCTTGACAAATTCTGACCTAACATATTTTATTTGCAAATGGCTCCATGGAGTTATAGCACAACGTGAACTAAGAATTCCTAGAAACAGATTAAGCTGAGCTGGAAAGCACCATGCATGAACCACAGAAAACACACGTATTCTACAATCAGATCCATGCTTCCCTTATAGCAATTTTCAAAATTCACACAATGCAGTTGTATCCATCTCCACAGACACATGACTGTGAGGAGTCCAGCTACTGCAAGATATGATGGTATATAGCTTTTGAGGTCTGTCACCCAAAACTAACTTGCAAACTAAGTTTATTTACGGCCCATCTCTTCCTCGAGTGCTAGAGGAAACAATCGTATCGGCTCCAAACTTTCCTTTTCGTTAGGCTGAGCCTTTTTTCTCTCACAAAACAGGCCTGTTATTTCCTTGATCATAGTTCAGTGATTATTTAAAAGAACCTGTTTTACTTTACATGGCAAGTGACAGGGAGCACACACACTAAGTAAGGAGGTCTCACAGGGGGGAAAAAAAAACCCTAAAAGCTAGGGAAGGTAACATCTTAAAGCATTCTCTTCATAGCATGACATTTCTTAAGTACCCAGTTACATTCTTATTCAATGCTTTTCTTTAAAATAAAATACAAAAAAAATTACAGGAGAAGGTAGAAACTTCTTAGTAAGTGAACATTCAAATGTATCTATTATAAAAAAGAACATGTTCATCAATTCTACCGGCCCAGTTTCCATAATTAAAGGTCACTTACAAAAGTAGGCTTACAGTTCCCTTGGTACCAAAACACTCTTTTTTTTTTTGTGATACTGTGAGATTTTTAGACAAAAATTAAATGCAATGCCTGAAGACATTTACAGATGAAAACTGATTAAAAATACTGACGTTTTCAGTGACAACGAAGCCTGTCTGTTCCTGTCATTTACTAATTGACACTTTTGAGTCATTAAAGCACAATCTTATTTCAATTAAGCTCAACAGAAAAAAAAGAAACAGGCTTCAGCACGTGCTGACCTATTAAGAAATACAAGCAATTTGAAAGGAGGATTACATTATAAAAAGTTTTATCAAATTGGCTCTTAACACTGAAAATCAAGCCTAATATATTAACTGTATTAGTACTTATTAAATCACTTTTTACACAGTAATTTTGAACTTCCGTGCCTAGTAAGTCCTCTGGAGTATCAGTCAAGGGAACAATATACAAAGAGTATAGAGCAAATAAATACAGTGAAACAAAACAGAGAGATAATCTCAAATACTAAAAAAAAATAAAAGTTAAAAAAGAAACTCCTCCTAAAGGAAGATACGGATTAAATATACAGAATGTTTAATCAGTCCATTGTTCGGATTCCTGATAATGCAGAAGCTAACAAAGACACTTGAAAAAAACAATGTGTGATTCTGAAAGTAAGACATCCCAACGTATACAAAAAGAAAAAAAAATACGGAAAAAACTTGAGAATGGGGGTGTTGCACTCAAACATTTGTGTGACAAAAAAGAGCCTTGTTCCTCAAAAGCAAAGCATAAAAAATGTACTCCACAGAAATAATCAGCACGCAAAAACCAAGCACTAAAGCTCTGATTCAAAACCCTCTGAAGAAAAGAGATAGTGACCTCACTAATTTCAATGGCTTTGTATCAAGCCCCAATGCCTCTCTCCCACTGAGCTAAAAATTCTTAGCCAGGATTTGTTTTTTATGGTCATGCTAAGAAGTTTCTTAAGATAAACCTAGAAGGTAATCTGGCTTCTTTCCAGTGTTTTTTGTAGTATTAAAAGCACAAATAGTAATATTTTGCAATCAATATCTTACCAGTAATAATGTGGCTCCAAAAGCTAGACAGAAGACCATTGGCCCAGCCAAATCAGTCTCATTCATGATGCTGCCATCTGCTACTTTTAAAGGGTGTAGCACTGTTAATGTCTTCTGCCAGATGTGGTCGAAATTGATCCCTAATTCTACAAGTTAGATGAAAAGGATTATGTCTATTTATTTCATTTTTTCCTTTCCCATTGCCCCCATTTGCTGCTTCTCTGTTACTTTTCCCTGCCCCTCCACTTGAAAACCTCCTCCAAGTACCATTCCTATGGGGACCAGAGAATTGAGTCATTCCATCTTTCCTCAAGGAGCTGAGTGTGTTGCCTCCACAGATTCCAGGTCTCAAATGCTCTGAAGTGACAGGCTGATTTCTACAGGACCAGGTAAGAGCATAAGCACAGTATTCTGGGTCAGACCAAAAGTCCATTTAGCCCAGCATCCTGTCTCTGTAAGTGGCCAAAAGCAGATATGCAGGAAAGAGCGTAAGAACAAATCATGCGTATTCCCCAAGTATTCTCCAAGTCTCCACTGACTGGTGGCTCAAGGACTTCTAATTCAGACTAGTCTCTCTGTACTTAATTACCCTCTGTGGATTTCTTTTTCATAAACTACCCATCCTCCTATTAAGTCCATTAAAAAACAAACAAACCCACCCCACACTTTTAACATCTGCAACATCTCATGACAAGGGGTTTCACAGCTCCTTGTGAGTAGATATGATTTCATGCATCCATCCATCCATACAATTTGGCCACAGTTCTGTGTGAAAGCCTGGTCATGAATGCAGCTGCTATTTGCTCAATTCAAACATTGAGATTTTTGATGGGCATCAATAAGCAAATTAATTTTGTGAATAACACCAACAACAAAAGTGCAGCTGGGTGGAGGGAAACCATGCATACCTCTCTGTCTAACCAGTAACAGTACAGGGTTTTTTCAGTCGTTTGGTACAGAACATTGATGTATATAAGCTGCAAACTCAAACAATCAGAACATACACTCTTACTATATATCGATGCCGGCATCCCACATCGGCTGTATTCTACATAAGAATTTCTGAAGTGTTTAGCATTCCTCTTTAGCAATAAGGATTTCAGTTTCAATTGAGTACGTGGTTAGAAGATCGCCAATTTATTTTATAAAAAAGGGCAGCCTTAAGCATTGCTTGCAGCAATAAAAAGATTAAGTGTTGTATGAAGTCAGGTTACTGACTTAATTCATCATCTCCTCCAACTGCTCATTGGAAGTAATAAACTACAATTCTAAAACTGCGAAAGTTCACAGGGAAACGTGTATTTCACATACAGTATACATACAGAAATACAGTATACGAAATACAATTAAATAAGAAAAGTTGAAGTAGAGAATATGTTGCCTACTACTCAACAGAAGCAGGCAATATATACCCTACTAGAGAATACATACCCATATTACTCAATTTATTGCCGAGTTGTGAGGAGTTTTGGATTTGGACTATAAAGAACAAGTTATACCTTCTAATAGAGGAGGTTCATCCTCAAAACTACTTCCATAAAAAGACTGCGCTGAAGTTGGAGTATATGTCTGCGTTGGCTGATAAATCTGCCCTGTGTAAGGCTGCTGCTGTTGCATCATTTCTGGAGGTATAAATCCACTTTGCTGAGAATATTCATAGCCTCCATATTGCCTATAAAGAATGACATCGTATTACGGACAGATAAAGAATTTGTTTTAAACACCTCCCTCCCCCATAAAAACAAAGCTTATTTTTCATATAAAAGCAGGACAGCATACAGCGAACAATCCTGTCTCTCCCATACTCAGGTACAAACCTTTCAGGTGCACAACTACGTTCATCAACTAAAAACCTCACAGACAATACAGATATAACATAAACAAGAGAATTTTAGTCGCAAATACGCTAATATTTGGGGAGCAAAGGGGTATTAAGGTAAAGGCCTTCAGAAACAACAGTCTTATCAATTGACTGAATTACTGCTACAGGCTGTAGACTTGTAAAATAGTAGCAAAAATTTACATCTCAAGCCTATTCAAATATTGTCCCTTAATTAGCACTGATGCCTTATTTGATGCCAGCATTAATTTGCTATTTAGAATATTTGCAAACTTACTATTCAAGGACAAAAGGTCTGCTTTTGTTCCCCTCCATATTTTTTTTAAACTAAGCTTGTTTTTGAAAACAAAAACAACACAAAAGCCTGTTTCCCTCTTCCCTCCTGAAATACTTATGTCAGGTAGTATTACAGCCTATAACGCATAAGAAAGAATTATGACCCAGACATGAAACACATTATGACGTCTACCTCCAAGACACGCTGCGTGGGAGAAAAAAATATATATAAGAATAGATAATTTTTCAGTTTCTATTTCACATTTTCTGAATTATTTACTATCTACTTACACTATATCTAGAATACTTCCTATTATAGATTTGACATATAGAAAAAATAGTTATAGTGCATCTTTAAAAACAATTCCTCAATAGACCTATCTACTCCCATTCCTAAAGTTATTCTTGCCACTAACCATTTCCAAGCCTGACTAGAGAAATTTCAGTAAACACCTCTGCAATAATTTACCCGCAAAAGTAAGAACATAAGGAAGGAAAACCCAAAATTCACTTCTCCCTTCTTTTCATCTGTAAGTAGAGCTCAACCACATCGCAGCACTGCAATCCTTACACACATCTACCTTTTTCATATAGCATTATGATCACACGTGGATCATATAACTTACAGAAAAATTCTCAGCCTGAGACTAGATGGGCTGAGGAGGACACAAAGGAGTCCGAAGAGCTCCCATGACCTAAAAAGCCTGCCATGATGTCTTACAAACACCTAGAAATCACCATTGGCCTTGCAGGCTTGTTTATTTGGCACCGGGACTGATCTGTACTCCCTGAGCGAGTGACCGGGGAAGGACTTGTGCAACAACGCGGTTTCCTCTCTTAAGGCTTTTCTTTCCTTTCCTTTCCTCTAAGTCTTTAAAACTGAACACACCTCAGCTATGACTACGAACACAGAATCTCTATTTCAAGCTTCTAAGCTTTACCTTAAAAGGCGGGGAAAGGGGCATTCAACGCATTACTGCTTTATACCGTAAAATATCGGGTATACGCTAAGCTGTTGGTAGAACAGCTCGGCGCCGGGCCGCGCCGCCGGCCG